TTCCATTGTTTATTTAATATAATCAATATAATCAATAATATAATCTATAATAAGTATATATATATGTGTGTGTGTGTGTGTGTGTGTGTGTGTGTGTGTGTGTGTTGTACAGGCTGTAAGTCATGGTCAAACGCTATGGAGATTTTAGCAGAGAAAGACGGTGTGGACACAGAGCTGCTGGTGTATGTGATGACCCTCATCAATAAGGTAACACACACACACGCGCACACACACACACACACACACACACGCGCACACACACACAGACACTGATTCTGATTTATTCATAATCAAATTCTGATTCATACAGAGTTATGCTAATTCTGATTCATTCACACTGGTTCTGATTCTGATTCATTTACAACCAAACACTGATTCTGATTCATTCACAATGGTTCTGATTCTGATTCATTTACAACCACACACTGATTCTGATTCATTGACACTGGTTCTGATTCTGATTCATTTACAACCAAACACTGATTCTGATTCATTCACACTGATTCTGATTCATTTACAACCACACACTGATTCTGATTCATTCACACTGATTCTAATTCTGATTCATTTACAACCAAACACTGATTCTGATTCATTCACACTGGTTCTGATTCTGATTCATTTACAACCACACACTGATTCTGATTCATTTACAACCACACACTGATTTTGATTCATTCACACTGGTTCTGATTCTGATTCATTTACAACCACACACTCTTTCTGATTCATTCACACTGGTTCTGATTCGTTAACAATCACACTATGTCTGATTCAATCACACTGGTTCTGATTCTGATTCATTTACAACCACACACTCTTTCTGATTCACACTCTCAAAGTGGTTCAGATTCTGATTCTCTCTCTCTCTCTCTCTCTGGGTCAGACGTTGGCGGCTCTGCCTGATCAGGACTCGTTTTATGATATGGTGGATGTTCTTGAGGAGCAGGGCATGGAGAGCGTTTCTCAGCGGTATCTGGGCCGCAAGGGCACCGATCTGGACCTGCTGGAGCAGCTCAACATATATGAGGTCTGACCATCTCAATCAGTGACTCCTTCATGTGGGTTTGGACTAATTGACTGATTCCAGGGTGTGTGTGGGGTCTTAAAAATATTAAAAGTTGATGAGTCAATTCAGAGAAATTGAAAAGGCCCTTAAAAAGTACTCCTGAGACACTGTTGTTTATTAATATAGATCATAAAAACACAAACATGAAAGTAAACATTCTAAAAGGGATTGAGTTTGGCTGTCTGATTCCTGTATATACCCTGATCCTCTTCCTCTGTCCTGCAGGCGACGCTCCGTCATGAGGATGGAGATGAAGACGGTTTGCCTCCATCCTGCGGTCGGCGGGACAGACGGAGGTCCAGTGTGGGTGGAGAGAGGCGGGGCTTGGAAAGACGCCGCAGCCGCAGGCATTCATTGGGCAGACCAGGCCACGCCTCCCCGCTCAGTCCCGCCTCCCCACACCGCACCAACATCAAGCTGATGAACGGACAGGATGAGAGGTGAGAGAGCACAGAATCCTGGCTTCCATTATTAGAGGAAAACAACTATTTAATGTGAGCGTTCATGGAGATGTTGACGTTAAAAGAGTTTCAAGTGCTATGTGAAGAAGCTCTTTTACAGGTAGGATGTTGCCTAAAAAAGGAGCTGTCTGTGTAGACAGTAGGTGCATCCCAAATCGTATACTTATGCACTATTGTAGTTTAAATACTTCAAGTAGTGCATTCACACTGGAAATTTTTAAGTGCACTTTAAATACCACTGATGATGTGAAGTGTTGAATGCTGGACACTTCACAAAATCAACGCTTAGGACGTAGGGGAGGGGAGGAGCTACTGACAAAGGGGAGGGGATAATAATAAAAGGGAGAAGCTATCAGATGCTGAGATTGGATAACTTCCTATATTTTGGATTGTAAAAGCTAAATTCTCCTATATAAGTGATCATGACTCCTCCTGATGGTGAATGTGGTTGTACTCTTGACAGCTACTATTTGGTAATTTTTGATCTGTGAAACAGATTGATATTGTTCCGTTTGGGACGACACTAAACTCTACACTACACCGATAAGTGTATAAGTGCATATTATATAGCTCCATCTAGTGATGTTGTCCACTAGTGTTTAGAGCAGATTCATGACAGATTGATGCAGAATATAATGTAAATATAAAGCTGAGAGTGTGATCGTTGCTGTTCTCAGTGTTGTCTGGGTGTTTTTGCTCCAGAACTCTTCTGAAACACGAGTGTCTTCCAGTGATGTAAGTGTCATTACTCATCACTGATTCACTTCCAACAAATTCACCTCTCATAGATAAATATTTCACTGGTTAACTTTTTCTTATACAACTTTCACTGATTCATTTTCACTGCTTCACTTCTCACTTTTCTCTGATTCACTTCTCACCAGTTCACCTTTTGCTCATTCATCTTTCACTAATTCATTTTTACTGATTCACTTCTCTCTTTGGTTCACTTCTTGCTGATTCAGTTATCAATTTCTCACCAATTAACTTTTTGCTGTTTAACCAGCTGATTTACTTCTTTTAGATTCTCTTCTCACTGATTCACTTTTATTGCTCACTATTCACTTCTTGAATATTCACGTCTGTCTTGTTCACTCTTTATGACACGTGTGACACACTGATTCTCTTGTCTCAGAATAACTTTTTTGCTGATTCAGTAAATGATTCACCTCTTTTGTTGATTCAGTAACTGATTCACCTCTTTTTTTGCTGTTTCAGTGATTGATTGAATTATTTTTTGCTGATTCAGTAAATGATTCACCTCTTTTGTTGATTCAGTAACTGATTCACCTCTTTTTTTGCTGTTTCAGTGATTGATTGAATTATTTTTTGCTGATTCAGTAACTGATTTGCCTTTATTTGCTGATTCAGAAACTGATTCACCTATTTTTTGCTGCTGCTTCAATGATTGATTCACTTCTTTTTTTGTTGATTCAGTAACCAATTTGCCTTTTTTGCTGATTCAGTAAGTGATTCACCTCTTTTTTGCTGATTCAGTAACTGATTCACCTCTTGTTTTGCTGATTCAGTAACAGATTCACCCCTTTTTTTGCTGATTTAGTAACCGATTCACCTTTTTTTGCTGATTCAGTAACTGAATAATCTCTTTTTTGCTGATTCAGCAACTGATTCACCTCTTTTTTTGCTGATTTAGTAACTGATTCACCTCTTCTTAGCTGATTCAGTAACTGATTCACCTCTTTTTTGCTGATTCAGTAACTGATTCACCTCTTTTTTGCTAATTCAGTAACTGATTCACCTCTTTTTTTGCTGATTCAGTGATTGATTCACTTCTTTTTTTGCTGATTCAGTAACTGATTTGCATTTATTTGCTGAGTCAGTAATTGATTCACCTCTTTTCTGCTGATTCAGTGATTGATTCACTTCTTTCTTTGCTGATTCAGTAACTGATTTGCATTTCTTTGCTGATTTAGTAACTGATTAACCTTTTTCTGCTGATTCAGTAACTGATTCATCTCCTTTTTGCTGATTCAGTAACTGATTCACCTCTTTTTTTGCTGATTTAGTAACTGATTCACCTCTTCTTTGCTGATTCAGTAACTGATTCACCTTTTTTTTGCTGATTTAGTAACTGATTCACCTCTTTTTTGCTGATTCAGTAACTGATTCACCTCTTTTTTGCTGATTCAGTAACTGATTCACCTCTTTTTTTGCTGATTCAGTGATTGATTCACTTCTTTTTTTGCTGATTCAGTAACTGATTTGCATTTATTTGCTGAGTCAGTAACTGATTCACCTCTTTTCTGCTGATTCAGTGATTGATTCACTTCTTTCTTTGCTGATTCAGTAACTTATTTCTATTTCTTTGCTGATTTAGTAACTGATTCACTTCTTTTTTTGCTGATTCAGTAACTGATTTGCATTTATTTGCTGAGTCAGTAACTGATTCACGTCTTTTCTGCTGATTCAGTGATTGATTCACTTCTTTCTTTGCTGATTCAGTAACTTATTTCTATTTCTTTGCTGATTTAGTAACTGATTCACCTTTTTTTGCTGATTCAGTAACTGATTCACCTCTTTTTTGCTGATTCAGTAACTGATTCACCATTTTTACTAATTCAGTAACTGATTCACCTCTTTTTTACTGATTCAGTAACTGATTCACCTTTTTTGCTGATTCAAAAACTAATTCACCTCTTTTGACTGATTCGCTAACTGATTCACCTTTTTTGCTGATTCACTTTAACCGGTCTAATTTCTCCATTGCGGGTTTAGGCAGCCAGTAAGCAGACAAACTCACCTGTGTGTTTTTCGTTATTTAGTCTATGACAAAGTCGAATGTTGTTCTCCGTTTCTGTTTTTACACTTTTGCTGTAGAGAAGAAGATGAGGATGAGGAGGAAACTCCTGTCACTGAGTCGGGCTCAGATAATAATGATGATGATGATGATGAAGGGGGAATTAATCCTTCTCATCACAGCGTCATCAGGTATTCTAGTGCAGATCCTCATTCAGCACAGATTGAGTGTGTGTGTGTTCAGGCACATCTCACAAATGGACTCTCTTGTTTCTCCTGGAATTGTTGATAATCAAGCGTCCATCATCAGCCTTTATGTCCTGACAGAATACTCCAGAATAATTAGACATGATTCATGTGTCACGCAACTCTCAGTACTAACAACTGTTTATATGACTGTTGCTTTAAATTCAAATGAGATTGTGCTCCAGGGAGGAGCTATAAAAGCCTGTGTGTCACCATAGCAGCAGCTCAAACACTCTAATGGCTAATGGACAGACGGCTGCTTCTCACTCAGGGCTGCTGTTTATGCTAATGAGGGAGAGATGGGCACTAGTGGGCGGGGCTTTCCCTCTCTGATGACATGTACAAAGGCAGAATGTCAATCAAAGTGTTTATGTAAACAGTTTTTGAAGTCTGATTTTAAATGATTATCATAGGCCACCTTTGAATGTCTGTCTACCTCCTCTGTCTCATGTTAGCATTGTGTTTGGGATGTCCGGTAAGATATAAACACAGAGAAGTTAATAAACAATAACTCATCTTCATCAGCGGCAGTGGTAAATCATCCCTCTGTAACAAACACACCACAGAAGAAGAGGAGAAGAAGAGGGCCACATCCTCAGCCCTGCCCCCTGCTGACTCCGCCCAGCCCTCAGTCTTGGCCAATCTGTTGGCTCGCCGCAGGTCATCTGTCACTGTGCCGTCGACCAATCAGATCAGTCCTCCGCAGCGGCCGCTGGACCGCCTGCCGTATCTGCCACACTCCCCATTCTTCCTCTTCTCATACGACATGGAGGAGCAGGAGGAGAAACCAGACGAGAAGAACAGCAGGTAGAGCACATATCCCATGATGCAACAGCCTGTAACTGCATCACTTCCTCCTGTGTATCTTTGAACCTGCTGGTTAAACAAAGATATGCTTCTTGCTGATTCACTTCTGGTTGGTTCAGTTCTCAAAGAGTCACTGTTGATTCACTTTTTGCTGATTCACTTTTCACAGATTCTTGTTTTGCTAATTCACTTCTCGCTGTTTAACTCTTGGTTATTTACTTTTACTGATTCACTTCTTACTGATTCACTTTTCTGATTGGTTCACTTCTCAGAGAATCACTTCTGATTAATGTTTTGCTGATTCACTTCTTACAGATTCTTGTTTTGCTTATCCACATCTTGGTGTTTAACTCTTGGTTATTCACTTTTACTGATTCACTTTTTAACAATTCACTTTTCTGATTCCCTTCCGGTTGGTTCACTTCTCAAAGAGTCACTTTTGATTACATTTTTGCTGATTCATTTCTCACAGATTCTTCTTTTGCTAATCCACTTCTCGCTGTTTAACGTGGTTATTCACTTTTACTGATTCACTTTTTACTGATTTACTTCTCACTGATTCCCTTCTGGTTGGTTCACTTCTCAAAGAGTCGCGTTTGATTCACTTTTTACTGATTCACTTTTCACAGATTCTTCTTTTGCTAATTCACTTTCCACTGTTTAACTCTGTTATTCATGTTTACTGATTTACTACTTACTGATTCACTTCTCACTGATTCACTTCTGGTTGTTCACTTATCAAAGAATCACTTTTCATTCATTTTTTTGCTGATTCACTTCTCACAGATTCGTGCTTTGCCAATTAACTTCTCAATGTTTAAGTCTTGGTAATTCACTTTTACTGATTTACCGAGTCACTCCTCTCTGATTCACTTTTGCTGTTTCATTTCTCACTGATTCATTTCTCATAGAACCACTTTTCGATGATTAACTTCTCACTGATTCACTTATCCCATATTCTCTTCACACTGATTCAGTTATCAATAATTATCTTCACTCTGATTCTCTCTATACTGATTCACTTCAGGTTGGTTCAATTCTGACTGAATCATTCTTATTAACTTTTTACTGATTCACTTGTAACAGATTCTTATTTTGCTAATTCACTTTTCATTATTTAACTTTGTTAATTCTGTTGCACTGATTCACGTCTCACTGATTCACTTTTCTGATTTTCTTTTCACCGATTCACTCTCTAGTTCACTTTTTGCTGATTCAGATCTCTTAGATTAATCGTTTACTGACTCACTACTCAGAGATTCACTTTACTTTGAGTCAGTTCTTGTTAACTGATTTACTGATTCACCAGTGTCTTCGTCTTCTGTCTGAAATGATCATGTCCAGTTCAGTGGACTGGTGTGCTGGTGGTTAAGCTGGATTAGTTATGAAGTGGCTGACATCTGATGGGGATTTCTCACCCTTTTATGAGCTGAAATGACAGTAATAGTCACTCTGTCTGTCTGGTCTGTTTCAGGTCTCTTTCTGCTGTCGGTTCTCCATCTACACCTACTAAACAGAACGAGAGGTGAGTTCACACAAACACACTGCAGCGCTTCATTCAGTACAGACTGATTAAAAGCAGCTAATCAGCGTGAAAATCACAGTGTTATTGCTGAAAATGTTCATCATTCATGGAGTATTGATTCAGCTCAGTTCAGTGTAGTGTTAATTCAGCTCAGTTCGGTGTAGTGTTGATTCAGCTCAGTGATGATTCAGTTCAGTTCAGTGTTGATTTAGCTCAGTTCAGTGTAGTGTTGATTCAGTCCAGTGTAGTGTTGATTCAGCTCAGTTCAGTGTAGTGTTGATTCAGCTCAGTGTTGATTCAGTTCAGCTCAGTGTAGTGTTGATTCAGTCCAGTGTAGTGTTGATTCAGTTCAGCTCAGTGTAGTGTTGATTCAGTTCAGCTCAGTGTAGTGTTGATTCAGTTCAGCTCAGTGTAGTGTTGATTCAGTCCAGTGTAGTGTTGATTCAGTTCAGCTCAGTGTAGTGTTGATTCAGTTCAGCTCAGTGTAGTGTTGATTCAGTCCAGTTTAGTGTTGATTCAGCTCAGTTCAGTGTAGTGTTGATTGAGCTCAGTTCGGTGTAGTGTTGATTCAGTCCAGTGTAGTGTTGATTCAGTCCAGTGTAGTGTTGATTCAGTTCAGCTCAGTGTAGTGTTGATTCAGTTCAGTTTAGTGTTGACTCAGCTCAGTTCTGTGTTGTGTTGATTGAGCTCAGTTCGGTGTAGTGTTGATTCAGTTCAGTTTAGTGTTGATTCAGCTTAGTTCAGCATATTGTTGATTTAGCTCAGTTCGGTGTAGTGTTGATTCAGCTCAGTGATGATTCAGTTCAGTTCAGTGTTGATTTAGCTCAGTTCAGTGTAGTGTTGATTCAGTCCAGTGTAGTGTTGATTCAGCTCAGTTCAGTGTAGTGTTGATTCAGCTCAGTGTTGATTCAGTTCAGCTCAGTGTAGTGTTGATTCAGTCCAGTGTAGTGTTGATTCAGTTCAGCTCAGTGTAGTGTTGATTCAGTTCAGCTCAGTGTAGTGTTGATTCAGTTCAGCTCAGTGTAGTGTTGATTCAGTCCAGTGTAGTGTTGATTCAGTTCAGCTCAGTGTAGTGTTGATTCAGTTCAGCTCAGTGTAGTGTTGATTCAGTCCAGTTTAGTGTTGATTCAGCTCAGTTCAGTGTAGTGTTGATTGAGCTCAGTTTGGTGTAGTGTTGATTCAGTCCAGTGTAGTGTTGATTCAGTTCAGCTCAGTGTAGTGTTGATTCAGTTCAGCTCAGTGTAGTGTTGATTCAGTTCAGTTTAGTGTTGACTCAGCTCAGTTCTGTGTTGTGTTGATTGAGCTCAGTTCGGTGTAGTGTTGATTCAGTCCAGTGTAGTGTTGATTCAGTCCAGTGTAGTGTTGATTCAGTTCAGCTCAGTGTAGTGTTGATTCAGTTCAGTTTAGTGTTGACTCAGCTCAGTTCTGTGTTGTGTTGATTGAGCTCAGTTCGGTGTAGTGTTGATTCAGTTCAGTTTAGTGTTGATTCAGCTTAGTTCAGCATATTGTTGATTTAGCTCAGTTCAGTGTAGTGTTGATTCAGGTTAGTGTTGATTCAGTTCTGTTCGATGTAGTGTTGATTCAGCTCAGTTCAATGTAGTGTTGATTCACTTCAGTGTTGAGTGTTGATTCAGCTCAGTTAAGTGTAGTGTTGATTCAGTTCAGGTTTGATTCAGCTCTGTTCGGTGTAGTGTTGATTCAGCTCAGTTCAGTGTAGTATTGATTCAGTTCAGTGTTAATTCAGTTCAGTTCAGTGTAGTGTTGATTCAGTTCAGTGTTGATTCAGTTCAGCGTAGTGTTGATTCAGTTCAGTGTTGATTCAGTTAAGTTCAGTGTAGTGTTGATTCAGTTCAGTGTTGATTCAGTTCAGTGTTGATTCAGTTCAGTTCAGTGTAGTGTTGATTCAGTTCAGTTGAGTTGAGTGGATCTGCTGATCTGCTGAATGTGTTGTTCAGACCGGCTCTGGGTGGGCTGCTGTCCTCCTCATACCGTCAGCATCAGGAGTCTCTGGCGGCCGAGAGAGAGAAGAGACGAGTGCAGCGAGAGGAGCGACTGCAGAGGATCGAGAGAGAGGAGAGAAACAGACACAGGTGAGCAGCACTACTGAATACACACTGCATTATCATCTACAGCACCTGCTCACTTCATCTGTGTGTGTGTGTGTGTGTGTGTGTGCAGTCGAGACTATGTGTCCAACATGGAGGAGGCCAGACATGCTCGAGAGGAGAGGTGAGATTTCCTCCTTTATTAATGCATCATTTATTGTTTATATATACTGTATATGACTAGAACTGACGGAACACTTCAGCAATTTTCCTGCAATACTGGAATCACCCATGTGTTTAATGTCTGGTTGTTTAATGTCTGTTTGAGAGGAGGGGGGGTTAATTAGCATATTCATTAGTCATGTATATGTAATGAACGCAAGAGTCAAAGAGTCGAGCCATTTTAGAACTTTGCATGGGAAAACTTGTTCTGGTTAAATGTTGCACATGGCTCTGCTGTCATGTCAGGTCGTGTGTGTGTGTGTGTGCGTGTGTGTGTTTGGTGACATCTTGAACAGGTTTAGTCTGATGTCCTTCACCCTATTTAACCCAGTTTTCCTCAAAACCAAACACACTTTTCCTCCTCCCCCCTCCTGCCTGACTGAAAACACACAGCGTGAGGCTTTCAATTCAGACCTAGAGAGTGTGTGAAGGCGTGTGTTCCTCTCTGACCGTGTGTGTGTGTGTGTCAGGTTTAAGACAGCGGAGCGTCTGGCAGCGGAGGAGTTCGAGAGAGAGCGGCAGCGTTCAGCACCTCGAGGACTCCCAACAGACACCTGTCAATCATCCCGCAGTGCCACGCCCTCCTCAGTGACATCACAGGAAGAGCAGGACACGCCCATCGCATCGTACCCGCCCTCTGAACCAGGTAAACCCGATATAATCGATCAGTTTATCATTAAAAACCGACCCGGGATCCTTCACAGATGTGAACTGGTGACCCTCCGTCTTGTTTTAATCTTAAGGAAGAGTGTGTGTATTGACATCATGCGTGTGTGTGGACAGAAAGATGCTGCTCATGTGTTTTACAGAAACTCTGCATGGTCAACTCAATAGTAATATATAGTAAAAGGGCCGTCATGGTGGTGCAGTAGGCAGCACTATCACCTCACAGCAAGAAGGTCGCTGGTTCGAGCCCCGGCTGGTTCAGTTCGTGTCTCTGTGGAGTTTGCATGTTCTCCCAGTATTGACGTGGGTTTCCTCCAGCTGCTCCGGTTTCCCCCACAGTCCAAACACATGCGCTATAGGGGAATTAGTATAGAGTTACTATAGAGTTTGTGAATGAGTGTGTATGGATGTTTCCCAGTACTGGGTTGCAGCTAAAGGGCATAAGGGACTAAGCCGAAGGAATGAATGAATATTAAGGCTGTACATTTTATATCAAGAACAACTGATATTTTTGTTATTTTTATATTTGTTATATTTGTTAAAAGATATTATATGCCTTCCACATTTAAAATATTGTCATTTACAGCTTGAATAACAGACGTTTACTTTCTGTTGTGATTGAGAATCAGTGTTATTTCAGCAGATATAGGTTATCTAGATGGTGTTTTCTGAAAATGATGTACATAAGCACGTCTATAAACATGGTTACTTTACAATATAGTTATGTACCTTCATAACATCTAATTTCTGTATTATTATGTAAGCTAATACTGATGATATTTCTTCCTAATTCTAAATAAAAATAGAGAATTATTTTTGCAGAAACTATAAAAATGTCTACACAAACCACATGTGTGAAGAGTTTGGAAACCAGTATTTGGAATAGTTATAGATATATGTGAAAGGCTGTATATGTGATGTGCTGTGCAGCAGTGAGCAGCTCGCGTGAGGAAACATGTTTGGACAACGCAGCGCGCAAATAACTGTTCTGAAGTCAGTGTGTGTGTGTCTCTGTTTAACTGCTTTAAAAGAGTCAGTCATGAGCGCTGATACTGTAACCTCTCTGTCACCTCACACACACACACTCAAACACTCATTCACTTTCTCTCAATCAGACTGTGTTATTCCTCAGAGGATGTATGCGCATGTGTGTGTGTGTGTGCGCTGACACAAACAGGTGTGTTTCCTGTTCATGTCTGAGGCCACAGAGGCCCTCAGAGCTCTACACTGCAGCTAAATTCTGGCTGATTCTAGAATTGCGGCTACATTTTGTGTCTCCAAGATAAAGCCTCTAATACTTTTCAAATACAAGCTATCTCTAAAAACAATGTCTGTATGTGTATTTTAGGACATTTAGTCTTGAAAATATATCCTTAAAGACTCCACTATAGCTATTTTTGAGTGTCTCCAATCAGTTTTGTTCCAGAAACATGGGCAAATTAGCAAATGTTTAATTCAATAAGACCTAATTTGCATATTTTAATGTAACACTTTTTTAATGCACACATTAAGACGTGCTGGGTTATTTAAACCCAAATTGAGTAAAATATAGACAAACCCAAACATTGGGTTACATTTGGTCCTATGCATTTCAGAGCAGTTCTATACTTGTACAAATACAAATTAGCAAATGGTTAATGAAATGGCCTCATTTGCATATTTTACTATAAAACTATGCACACTTAAAAAAATGCTGGGTTATTTAAACCTAAATTGGGCAAAATATAGACCAAATCAAACATTGGGTTAAATTTGGCCCTATAAATTTAATAGCAGTCCTATAAATGCAAATTAGCAAATGATTAATGAAAGACCAAATTTGCATATATATTTGCATTTAAAGCTTACACAAATACAAAAAAGAGTCAAATTCTGAACGTACACTCGAATAAATGCTGGGTTATTTAAGCCCAAATTGGGTAACATATGGACCAACCCAAACATTGGGTTAAATTTGGCCCTATAAATTAAAAGCAGTCTTATAAATGCAAATTAGCAAATGTTTAACTAAATACATCATTTGCATATACATTTGCATATAAAAGTTACAAAAATACAAAAAAAGAGTCAAATTCTTAATGCACACTTTAAGTAATGCTGGATTATTTAAACTCAAATTGGGTCAAATATGGACAAACCCAAACATTGGGTTAAATTTGGTCCTATAAACTGAATTCAAGAAAATAACCCAGCTGCTGGTTTAGTCTGTATTGCACCCAGAATTGGGTTATAGTAACCCAGCATTTGTTAAAGTGTCATCAGTCAGCCGGAGGAGTATGGTGATGAATATTAGTTTAAATGTATTTACCCCGTTTATCTGTAGCGTCTTACCTGAAGTCACATGATTAAACACATTTGCATATTACACACTGCCTCATCAGCATGCTGATTTCTCCACAGACACTAATGATCTAGAACCGGAAGCAGAGGCTGATCTAGAACCCGAGGAGAAAAAGCCCACAGAAGAAGCAGAGGAGGAAGTAGAAGAGGAAGTAGAGGAGGAAGTAGAAGAGGGAGTGAGTGCTGAACCGGAAGTGAGCGCAGCTGAGGAACAGGTGGCAGAGGAGGAGGAGGAGTCTGAGCGGGAAGCGCCGGATGGAGAAGCGGAGGACAGTGGAATACTGAGCGATAAAGAGCGACAGAATGAAGAAGTGAACGAGAAAGACAACTGCTCTGCGTCCAGCATATCCTCCGCCAGCAGCACGCTAGAGAGAGAAGATCGACTCAATGCAGGCGCCGCAGACACAGGTGATACACAGCCACAGTTATTCACCCTCATGTGAATTTATTTCTTTGTCAAATATTGATGAGGTTGAACAGATTCAGGAAATGTTCACAGTAAACAGGTTTTTGATGATTTTTATTTGATTAAGGTCATAATCGAACTAAACAGAAATGAATTAAGACGTGGAGTATGCTGATTTAAGTGGCATTACACTGCAATCAAACTATTACTGCATTTTGCGACAGGATAGTCCATACACACGGTGGTTTGACACTATTCTCTGCACCTACCGAGTCAATAAAGGACCACAGACACCAGCATCACAAAATGCAGAGTTTTTCCCCATTAAAAATCCATTAAAACTACACTCTTCCAGCAGTTCCTCATATCCAATATCTCGTTTGTCCTGGGGGGCATGCATGAACACCTCTAGTTTGAAAAAAGTGGATGAGCCCAGCTCTATTTAGGTGGGAGTGGCGAAAGAGGGAAGGGTTTGCAAGAAAAGGGGAGTTTCAGTATGAGTTTCACTGCAGCAACACAAACACAGACACAGGATAGATGGACAGGGATGTTTACATGGACATCAGTCATTGATTTATTTGCCTTAATCTGAATAAGAGCATAATATGATGAAGGTGTTTTCCTTTCATGATCCCGTTTAACATGTTACAGCACACAATACGATTAGCATCATTGCCACGCTATTTCCTCAGGAGTTTTATGTAATTTTGTGTTTCATTCTTAGTTTGTCGACTTTAACTGCAGTTTGTCACTTTCACTTTCATTCAGGAACATTTCATGCATGCCCCCTGGCAAAAAAATGAGATATTGGATGCAAGGAACTGCTGGAAGAGTGTTGTTTTAAGAGAAAAGCATCAAACAGCCGTGTGTGAATAGACTATCCTGTCACAAAATCCTGGCGAAAATCCTACATGACGGTAATTGATTGCAGTGTTTACATGTTTACATTGTGAGAGCAGCATTTACCGTGGATCTTTCAGTCCATAATATTGCAGTGATATTAACGTACTGTAAACTTTAGTAAGTAAATCATTTTGACTATAGTCTGTCTTTAAAAACTGAAAGAGTACTGCTGACCATACCAACTAACTTAATCTGAATAAACATAAACAAAGACACTGATCACACACTTACCAAATCTGTAGAGACAGAACAACCAACACCAGCTGGAGCCGCGTCTTTATTAAAAGGAGACGAGCAGCAAATTTCATCATTTCCAGATGCAAAAAGCTCTCTAGTAAAAAATGTTGCTTACTAACGTATTGTTGACGCATGTTAGCACACTACTGTAATCCACACTTGAGTCCAGCTGCGCTCTCATAGCGGGAAAGGACAACAAAACCTTCAATGCAGCACATTTATAAACACAACACTGACAGCCCATATCTCCGAACAATTCTTCTTTCACTTGTTTTAATTACGGTTGGCAACACAACGTGGCGTCCCTCTGAACACTGTAACAGGTGAAAACAGCCTTCAAAGCGATCACGCATATTAATGAAGTTGCACCTCATTCACAATAGAGCGCGCTGATTGGTTCGAATCAAGTCTTACTCACAAATGAATGCTGGAAACTCAAAGATGTCACGTTGTACTTGCCAGTACAGACATCTAGTCTCCATGCTGGAATGTACATAAGGATATAATCGCTGTGATAACAGTAAAATAACAAGTAATTTACGCCAATTTTGACCTATTAGGGAAATGTGTGTGTCCTAATACTGTGTTTAGGGACACTTATATGACTGTCAACATCTCAACAAATGTGTTTTGGGGTTTCGTGACCCTTTAAGGCAAGTAATTCCATTCCTGATGTCCATGTAAACGTGGTCGCTCTGTGTTTCTGCAGGTCAGTGGAACGTGAATGAACAGCGACACAAGATCCTGGACAGCAAACTCTTCATGCTGGACATGCTGTACTCTCAGAGCAAAAAGCCCTGCGAGGAGGACGAGGATGAGGATGAAGAGCTGGCGGAGGATAAGGAGGCAGACGGAGAAGAGAAAGAACCGGACGAAGATTCAGCGACAGCGCCGGACGAAAACACCGAAGCAGACAAGAAGCAGGAGACCCAGAGTAACGTTCGGGCGTTCGCTGAGCGCTTCGGGGACGTGGTGAAAGGTTTGACCTCTCCACCAATAGAATTGCAGGATCTGCCTCCTCCTCCTCCTCCACCACCACCGAAGAAGGAGTCAGACTGTATTTGGGATCAGCTGATGGCGAGTCCGAGAGATCTGCGTATCGGTGATATCGACTTCACTGATTTAGGAGATGAAGATGATCAGGATGTGTTGGATTCTGGGAGTTTATATAGCTCTGGAGACCTTCAGGCTCCGCCCCCTCCTCCCCCACCCTGCCCCTTTAACCTCCCGGCTCCGCCCCCTATGTTCGGCTGTCCTCCGCCCCCTCCCGTCTTCAGCATACGTGTGCCTCCGCCCCCTCCCTGCTTCTCCAACCAGGCTCCGCCCCCTCCGGAGATGAAGGCGGAGCTTCCACTCTTCCAGAAGAAGAAGAAGACCATCCGACTGTTCTGGAGTGAAGTTCAGCCTGCAGACTGGATCTACCGGAACCACAAGCGCAGCCAGGAGTCGCTGTGGTCCAGACTCGAACCTGTCAAAATCGACACCGCTAAACTTGAACATCTGTTTGAGAGCAAATCCAAAGAGATGCCTGTCGCTAAGGTGAGCACGAATATTCGCTCAGTATAATCAGTAAAACAAATGAAGCTCTGCGTGTTTTGAATATCTGACTCAATAAATCTGACTCTTTTGTTCATAACGGTGTGTGGTGAAATATACATTTTGTTTTAAAGCAGATGATTCATAATTTATATAAATAATTGAGCTAATACTTTACTGATTTGCTCAAAAAGAATGATTGTTTTGGTTTGGTCCAATATGAACTCATTGAATGTAGTAACATTTGACTCTTATGAACGATGCTTCATCGAATCACAAATCACTTATCGAATTACTTAACGAATCACTTAACGAATCACTTATCTTTGACTTTGAATCAATCTTGTTTTCTCACTCAGTCCAATTAATTCTAACTTTTAAAGAACATTTGACTCTTATGAATGATGCTTTAGATCTGTGTGTTTTGATTCATTTCAACTGATTCACTTACTGAATCTGACTCTTTTGTTCATACAGTTGTAGTGAAATATACGTTTTTAAATTTGTGCATTTGATTCATAATTTAAATTAATTATTGAGCTAATACTTTATTGATTATGGTTTGGTTTAAAATGTGCTCATTGATTCTAGCAATACTTGACTCTTAAGAACGATGCTTTAGTTAATGGCTCAGTTATTTGACTTTGAATAAATCTTGTCTTCTCATTCAATCACATTTCTGAACTACAATTTGACTCATATGAACCATGAATTAATTCTGTTATCTTACTCAATCCAACTGAATCTAACTTTTGAAGTAACATTTGACTCTTATGAACAATGCTTTAGTGAATCACTCAGATCTTTAACTTTGAATCAATCTTGTTTTCTCACTCAGTCCAATTTGTGAGCTAATATTTGACTCATATAAGCTGAATAACTTAATCTAAAAATATATGATTCAGTCATATGAATCAATTCACTGGATCAACTAACACTTGACTAACTTGTTGAATCTCACTCATCTGTTTGTCTTATAGTTTGTAATTAAATGTTCTCATTTTAAGGTTGTAATTAATTATGAAAAACATTGTGAAGACATTGACAGTGTTTGCTGCTAAAAAATAAACCGTTGAATTGTTGACTTGAATCAGTTCAGTGGCTGAATTCATTCATAAGGAGTAATATCTGACTCACTGAACTCTTCTGTATTCGGAATCACTATAATGAGTGTAATGCAGTTAAAAACACTGATTATGTGTGTGTGTGTGTGTGTGTTAAACAGAAAGCAGCAGCAGACGGGAAGCGTCCAGAGATCATTGTTTTAGACTCCAAACGCAGTAACTCCATCAACATCGGCCTGACAGTTCTTCCTCCGCCGCGCACCATCAAAACTGCCATCGTCAACTTCGATGAGTACGCGCTCAACAAAGAGGGCATTGAGGTGCGCAGACTCACACTACTCAGCAATTTACAGTGTTAGCATTATAGAATGTTACATATGGTCCTTTTCGGATTGTTACACTTTTCAATGTTTCATAATCTTCTGTAAAAATGCCAAAATGTAACATTTTATAATGTAGCATTCTAAATCGACAAATTGTAATATTGTAAACAAAACAATGTTCCATGTGGTTGTCTTTGAATTGTTACATTTCTGAATGATCTGTTTGGTCGTTTTTGAATTTTTACATTTCAGAATGTTCCGTTGTTCCGTTTGGTTGTTGTTGAATTGTTACATTTCAGAATGTTCCGTTTGGTGGTTTTAGAATTGTAACAATTCAGAATGTTCCATTTGGTTGTTTTTAAATTGTTACATTTCAGAATGTTCCGTTTGGTCGTTTTTGAATTGTTACTTTTAAGAATGTTCCGTTTGGTGGTTTTAGAATTGTTACATTTCAGAATGTTCCGTTTGGTGGTTTTAGAATTGTTACATTTCAGAATGTTCGGTTTGGTCGTTTTAGAATTGTTACATTTCAGAATGTTCCGTTTGGTCGTTTTAGAATTGTTACATTTCAGAATGTTCCATTTACAATCTTATATTTTGTTGATTTACAACCATTTCTTTAGAACGTTACAATTTTTCAATTTAGAACTATATTTAAGGATGTTTAATTTCGATTAATAGCAGTTTTTTAGAGCCTCTTGTCAGTCTAGAAATCTTTGTTTTAGAATGCTACATTGTGTCATTTCAGAACTCTTCATTATAGAAAGTTACATTTTGTTAAATTCAGTTTAACACTACATTTTAGAATATTCTGTGTGAAACTTTTAACCCATTCTCCAACTCTGTCTGTGTGTGCTGCAGAAAATCCTGACCATGATTCCCACAGCAGAGGAGACTCAGAGGATCCAGGAAGCTCAGCTGGCCAATCCGGATGTTCCTCTGGGCAGCGCAGAGCAGTTCCTCCTGACCCTCTCCTCCATCAGCGAACTCTCGGCTCGACTGCAGCTCTGGGCCTTCAAACTCGACTACGAGGCCACGGAAAAGGTCAAGCAGAATCCACATTAGACATTTCTTCACTCTCACTTTTCATTCAATTGTTGCATCCTGTAAAATACAATATTAATATCTAAAATGAATACTAATATCAATATTTTGAAAAGGACTTAAAGAGGAAGTATTACACACATCCAAACATGGAGAAAAAACTATACAAAATAATCGTGTTGCATAGATATTTTTATATTTGATCTATAATTTGTATCATATATATATTATATACATTTATATTGTATCTAAAAATAAATAAACATCAAAAACTGTGCAGAAACACACAGAAGAGTGTGATGAATGTGTGTTGGTGATGATGAACTGTTCATGGAGATCTTACAGCAGATGTGCTGACGGCCAACAACACATTTCAACATGCCAAAGAGCTTCAAGTCAAAAGCATCTCAGGCTCTCCGTCTTTTTCCATTTAGCGCTCAGAGCATTCCTCAGGTTTTCCGTGTTTTATCTTCTCCTCTGACGCAGGAGATGTTTGAGTGCTCTTAATGGAGAGGAACGTCATGTGCTCCAAACAAAAGACTCCAATAACCAGAAACACATTTGTTTTCCCTCCATCTGAGAACAGACAATCACATGCAAATCAGGGCCGGATTAACCAATGGGCCTTATGGGCACAGGCCCAGGGGCCCGTGCGCACCAGGGGCCCCTGCGAGGGGGGAGAAAAAAAGACAATTTCGGAATGTCTTTTTAGGCTAATTGCAAATAGCGCATCTAGTTGGACTAAGCTATTCAGGGTTTACGCCCATCGGTGCCTGATTGATAGAGACAAGATGAGTAAAGAGTCGACAAATAATACAGTCGGAGTGGCGCACCTTGTAAGGCACACGGTATCATCTTTTGACGCGATTATCCTAACATCGGTTCGAATCCACCATCAGTTGAACTCGTGCTACTTTTTTTTCTCCCCATTACATATCAGATTGGAAATATATTTATTTTTAACAGGAAAGACACATTTTTTTAAAAAATAGTGCAAATGTGATATAAAGTCACAAGTGTCTCGTGGGTATTTAATAATGTTTAGCCTTATTATAGGCGCCTGCCGCGCCTCCCTCTCTTCAAAAACTCTATTGCTCAGACAACTGTATTTCCTCTGAGCAAAAAAATCGCGATCACATATTAATATTATTATTATATTTAAATTGCCTTTCTTTCTTTAACTAAACAGAATGCTGTAATTGGTCAAGCGCGGAAACGTCAGTTTTGTAATAACCCGCACTAAACTGAGCGGACTGTAGTGTAACGTTATATCTGTCATAGATCAAAAATGAGTGGACAAGTGGATTTAGCAAACGCGAGAAAAAGAGGAGAGGAGGCATCTTTATTGAGGCATTTTCCATACACACCTTCTTTAAACAGACCCGTGATCAGGAGAAAGAGGGTACAGAAGAAGACGTTAACTTTAAATGATGAGTGGCTAGCATTAACCAGGCGGAGGAGGCTAACGGCAGCGCAGCGCGGACTGGATTCATCGTGTGAGAGACAGACAGAAAGAGAGAGAGAGAGAGAGAGAGAGAGAGAGAGAGAGAGAGAGAGAGAGAGAGAGAGAGAGGCCCAGAAGAGGAGAGAGACGGGAGAGAAGAGGTATAGTGTGTGTGTGATTTCGGATACTTTTAGGTTTATAATCAAGTCTTCATCACGAGAAGAGTAGAGAAAATACAGGGAGAGGAGGAGAGAGACAGTAAATTAGTGTTTGTATTATGAAAGACTCAGATTCATAGAACTCAGATTCATAGAACTGGATTGGAGAAGCATTGTGCGTTATATGCCATGGCAATAATATGCTTTATAAGTTTGTAAAAGCAATACACTAAAATATCCTTAAAAAAAATATATATATATATATATATATATATATATATACTGAACCACACTGTTCCAGTTACTATGACCATTTATGTGAAGCTGCTTTGACACAATCTACATTGTAAAAGCGCTATACAAATAAAGCTGAACTGAACTGATATATATATATATATGTGTGTGTGTGTGTGTGTGTGTGTAGTTTTATTAGTATTTTTATTTAATGCTTTGAAAAATAATTAAAATCTTTGCAGACTATAAATACATATGTACTATATAGGCCTATCATTTATTTAAATATGTGGGCAACAAATTATAGATTCATTTTATTTAAAAATTATTAAATTATTCTTATTTTTTAAATTCAACTATAGGGGTGCGGCCAGGTAGGGGGCCTTACAAGATAATGTGCCCAGGGGCCCCTGAGTTCTTAATCCGGGCCTGATGCAAATGGATGAAGATCCTGTCCTGCACTTCAATCTGCACCACAGAAGCTACACTCCATCTGTGATGTCATCACGCAGTCGCAAATGGAGCTTTCTAAAATGGAACATTCCAAAATGCAACATTCTTTAATTAGCAATCTAAAATAATAAAATAACAATACATTTTATTGCACTTTTCCTACATACATAGAACTCAAAGCACTTCACAAACAAACAAACAAGCATTGAAAAATAAAGCAAATAAACAAATGTATAGACAAATAAAGCAAAAATAAACAAGAAATACAGACTCAGATAAAAGCATACATGTACGCGCATATATCTACACAATCACACACACAATAGTCCTTACATATGCATTTACATGCACACACTGTACATGCATACACACACACACCTACACAATATATAATTAGCATTCTAAAATTAAACATTCTAAAATGGAATATTCTGAAAAGGAACATTCTAAAATGGAATATTCCACAATGCAACATTCTAAAATGGAATATTCCAAAATGCAACATTCTTAAATTCTAGAATGGAACATTCTAAAACGGAATATTCCAAAATGCAACATTCTAAATTTTAAAATGCAACATTCTAAAATGGAATATTCCAAAATACAACATTCCAAAATAGAATATTCCAAAATGCAACATTCTAAAATGGAATATTCCAAAATGCAACATTCTAAAATGGAATATTCCAAAATGCAACATTCTAAAATGGAATATTCCAAAATGCAACATTCTAAAATGGAATATTCCAAAATGCAACATTCTAAAATGGAATATTCCAAAATGCAACATTCCTAAATCCTAAAATTAAACATTCTAAATTGGAATTTTCTAAAATGCAACATTCTTAAATTTTAAAATGCAACATTCTAAAATGGAATATTCCATAATGCAACATTCTAAAATGGAATATTCCATAATGCAACATTCTAAAATGGAATATTCCAAAATGCAACATTCCTAAATTCTAAAATTAAACATTCTAAATTGGAATATTCTAAAATGCAACATTCTTAAATTTAAAAATGGAATATTCTTAAAGTCCACATGAACCTGAAGCTGCGACATCATATTGCGTCGCTGTTCCTAGAGAAACAGAATATTAAATGAGAAAACAGTGGGCGTGGCTTGTTTTTTTACTGTGAGCTGATTGGATGTAGAAAAATGGGCGTGTCATTCAGACAGATAAGTAAAAGGGTTTGTGGAGAGTTACTAGAACCTTACAGACTCCTCCTGTTCACCATTTCTGTTTGATGTCAAAACTGACAGCTGGAGGGCGTGGTTAAGGATGTTAGCCACGCCCACTTACTAAGATATACTTAATCTGACAATTTAACTGAAAAAAACAGGAAGTGCATTTTCAGATTTCCATGAAAGATTAGAAAGGCAAACTAATGCTTTTGCTCTTAATGACACGCACAGATGAAGTGATCAGCACACAGCTAACAATGAGAGAAAACTAAATCAGTATGAGGAGATCTGAGCCCATGCAGACTTCACATGGAGCATTCCACTATGTAAGAGTCTACAGTAAAGCATTCAGAAATGGAACAGTCTAAACTGATGCAGTGTGTTCGGTCTGACAGGAAGTGGCCGAGCCTCTACAGGACCTGAAGGAGGGCATGGATCAGCTGGAGAAAAACAAAACACTGAGATACATTCTGTCCACTCTGCTGGCCATCGGGAACTTCCTGAACGGCTCAAACGTGAGACTCCACACACACACACACACACACACACACACACACTCATGTGATGACAGTAAGTGTAGCTGATGCTGGTGTGTGCAGGCCAAGGGCTTCGATCTGAACTATCTGGAGAAGGTTCCGGAGGTGAAGGACACGGTGCACAAACAGTCTCTGCTGCATCACGTCTGCAGCGCCGTGCTGGAGAACTGCAGCGACACCACTGACCTGTACTCTGAGATTGGCGCCATCACACGCTCGGCCAAGGTACAACAAACACACACACACACACACACACACTCATGCATAGACTGTGAGTGACTCTGTGGTTGTGGTGTGCAGGTGGATTTCGAGCAGCTGCAGGAGAACCTGACTCTGATGGAGCGGCGCTGCAAAGCATCATGGGACCACCTGAAGGTGATCGCCAAGCACGAGATGAAGCCGGTGCTGAAGCAGAAGATGTCGGACTTCCTGAAGGAGTGCGCAGAGAGGATCATCATCCTGAAGATCGTGCACCGCCGCATCATGAACAGGTGATGAGCAGACCATACTCTGACTGCTAATATTACCCACCATATCATTAGAACTACAAACCCTGGGTGAAAAGTGTAAACAACTACAAACATGGCCGACGCGCAGTCAGGATGTTTGAATGAGTGTTGATTGATGTTTCAGGTTCCACTCGTTCCTGCTGTTCCTGGGTCAGCCGGCGTACAGCGTGCGGGAGATCAGCGTGACGCGCTTCAGTAAGATCATCAGTGAGTTCGCTCTGGAGTATCGAACCACACGAGAGCGAGTCCTGCAGCAGAAGCAGAAACGAGCCGATCACAGAGAGAGGAACAAGACTCGCGGGAAGATGATCACCGACGTCAACACACAGGTCTCACACACACACATTCACAGTCATGTTACAGTCCTTCATTAATAATTCAAATTACGCCAGAGTTCAGATTATTCTGTGGGTGTGGTTTCACTTCTATATACTATGCACTGTGGGTGTGGTTAGAGTATTGGCTGTTCACTGATGTGGGCGGAGCTAGCACTGTTATGTTCAGTGTGTGTGGTTACAGCTTGTATATTGAGTGGTGTGGGCGGGGCTAGACATCTGTTATTTGGTGGGTGTGGTTTCACCTCTATATACTCTGCGCTGTGGGTGTGGTTAGAGTTCTGATTGTTTGTTATTTGGGCGGGGCTAGCGCTGTTATGTTCAGTTTGTGTGGTTACAGCTTGTATATTGAGTGGTGTGGGCGGGGCTAGACATCTGTTATTTGGTGGGTGTGGTTTCACCTCTATATACTCTGCGCTGTGGGTGTGGTTAGAGTTCTGATTGTTTGTTATTTGGGCGGGGCTAGCACTGTTATATTCAGTGTGTGAGGTTACAGATAGGATAATAAATGATGAGGGAGGAGCTAGAGTTTAGATTATTCAAAAGGTGTGGTTTCACCTCTATATACTCTGCACTGTGGGTGTGGTTAGAGTTCTGGTTGTTTAGTTCTGTGGGCGGGGCTAGCGCTGTTATGTTCAGTGTGTGTGGTTACAGCTCTGATTATTGAGTGGTGTGGGCGGGGCTAGGCAGCTGCTTATTTGGTGGGTGTGGTTTCACCTCTATATACTCTGCGCTGTGGGTGTGGTTAGAGTTCTGGTTGTTTAGTGATGTAGGCGGGGCTAGTGCTGTTATGTTTAGTGTGTGTTGTTACAAATAGAATAGTAAATGATGTGGGAGGAGCTAGAGTTTAGATTATTCAGTGGGTGTGGTTTCACCTCTATATACTCTGCGCTGTGGGTGTGGTTAGAGTTCTGGTTGTTTAGTTCTGTGGGCGGGGCTAGCGCTGTTATGTTCAGTGTGTGTGGTTACAGCATGATTTATAAGTGATGTGGGAGGAGCTAGAGATTATTTACCCACTGATTATTCAGTGGGTGGGGCTTCAGCACTATATCCTCTGCATTGTGGCTATCCAGTGATGTGGGCGGGGCCAGATTTCTGCATGTTGTGGGCGGAGCTAGAGCTGTGATTAATCTGTGAAGAGAGTATGAGGACACACTGTTGGAGGCTGTAGGTCGTCTGTTGATTCTTCACTTGTGTTTCTCACCACAGACTGATGATGAAGAGGACAGTGAGGTACGAGAGTGAGAGAATATTAACAGAATGTTAAAGCTCAGCATCACTAACGGAGTGTCATTGTCATTGTATAAGCTTGTGTATGTTGAGCGGCAGTGTTTTGGTCTGGAATTGGCCTGTTGTGTCTGTGTATGAAATCTCTGTGGTTTGATGTATTGTAGCATTTGAACGTTTTATTACTAACTGTGTGCTGATATTCAATATTATAATATATTGTGATGATGAACATGCATGAATGCAACATGGAAATAAATACTGTGAATATTAAGTAGTACATAACTATTTTGCAGCTGTGACCAATATCCTGATAAAAACTTCAGCAATTAATCACAACAATTTACTAACTAAAAAAAATATATATATATATATATATATATATATATATATATATATATATATATATATATATATATATATATATATATATATATATATATATATATATATATATATATATATATATATATATATTTATTTATTTTATGTATTTTTTTATTCTTATTTATATACTGATTTTCCTTGCAGTATTTGTATTTTTAATGTGATTTTATGTAGTTAAACTGACTTATTTTTATTTGTATACTTTTCTATTTATTAATGCATTTTTCTATTTATTAATTAATTTTTTTAAATAAAATTTTTAATGCTTAATTTTATGTAAATGTAAATAAATAATACATTAAAAAAATAAAACATTACATAATAATGATAATAATTATTACAAACTCATGATAAAGCTAAATCATTGAGTGATTATAACTAGGGTGATTCTAACTGTTAAAACTGTGTGTGTTCAGGCAGCAGGTCGTGTGTGTGTGAGCAGCAGCAGTAGTGCGCCTCCTGCAGGGCCGCAGATGCAGGTGCAGCCACAGCCACAGCCGTCGCAGCCGCAGGGTTTGTGTGACGCTGAAGATGCAGCCGAACACCAGCAGATGACGGCGGTGCTGAAAACCAGAGACCTGAGGACACGCACACGCACACGAGCAACACAAGGTCACACACACACTCACACTAATGCACACACAAACATACTATATAAGCTCACACTGATACAAACAAACACACACACTACAAACTCACACAAACAATGCAAGCATACAGTCACACATACAAACTCACATAAACCCACACACACACAAACACGGACACACCCCAGCAAGTTTCAATTGCTGAACATTCAATCAAAAACTCCCTCTCGTGTGTGTGTGTGTGTGTGTGTGTGTGTGTGTGTAGGCCGCAGTGCGTGGGCTCCAGTGAATGAAGAGTCTCAGATAAACACCGAGGACGCAGCGGATGAGATCATGGAGAGAATCGTACGATCAGCCACTCAGAGTCCCCGAGAGCGAGCGCAGCCGCGAGAACGACGACGCTCACGCGCAAACAGAAAATCACGTCAGTAAAATCACACACACTAACCTACATCAGCAGATCAACACAGAACAATTCAACAGCTTACTGAAACAGCGCTGTGTGTCATACATGATCCCTCAGGCTTTTATCTAGAATAATCATCGAGATCTCTGAGCTCCACCAGTGAGGAACAGAGAGCGTAAAGGTTCTGGAAAGAGCCCTAAGCTAAGAGGAAAATAAAAAATGACCCTAAAGTCCTTAATCTGCGTATTCAGAGCAGTTTGACAAATAGCCAACAGAGTCGAAACCGTCAATAATAGGTTAAAAAGGAAGATATTAAACAATAGGAAAAATGATGGACATTTATACAGAGATTAATACAAAAATAAAACTCTGAATCTCAAGATTAAAGTGTTCAAGAATTAACATTTTAGGAAAAACAACTTCAAGAGTTCACCCTTAGCTGATGATTGATTATGAAGCGTGTTTGGCATGCTTTCCCGGGAGAGAGACCTGAGCTCATAAGATCCTCAAGCCCGGGGTTCCCTCCTGTTTGCAGGTCAAAAGGGGAGTTTGAGCTCAGGTAGATGTGGAGAACTCCCCTGCTGTAGTAGCTAATGAACAGATAGTGATCGCTCTTAACAGATAACTACTGACTAGCAGCATGTCTATGGTGCTGGATTAGTCAATTAACCTAAGCTGCATGTTTTTTGACGGTGGGAGGAAACCGGGGAACCCGGGGGAAACACATGTGAGCACGGGAAGACGTGTAAACTCGCACAGAAACATCGGCTGGCTTGGTAAGGACTAGAACCAGTGACGTTCCTGCTGTGAGGCAACAGTGCTAACCACTGGGCCACCGTGCCACCCATCTAGGAAAGGATGAGGAGTAGGGGTGGAGGGGGGGATTCTTCAAAATGAAGATGGCTGTGGTCTGATTGGTGAATGATAAATTGGGTAATGAATGACCAGCTGTGTTCAATCATAAGCACGTGATCCTCTTAATATTAGTTTATGAATAGACTTCACTTAATAAAATGGTAAAAATAATTATTTTATTCTTAAGATGCAGGTTTTTTGAGAACTTTTTTCCAATATAAATGTCAAGATTGTCCTAATCAATGAGCAGTGAGTTTAGTGACTGCAGCTGAATCTCCACTGTTTTGCTGTTCTCCATGTCTCAGTGAGGAGGACTCTGAAAGGCGGCTTGACCCCAGAAGAAGCACAAGCTCTGGGATTCGACACGTCAGACATGCCGGTGTAACAGGACGTCCCGACTGAACACACACTGATGCATTTGCCTTCAGCAGAACCGATCTCAGGACGCCCAGAACCCACACACAGTCAAACTACAGTGTGTTTAAAGCTGCAGAAAATCCGCTCATGGGTCATTTATAGAGCAAAGCTCCGCCTCCAGAATGTGTGTTCCATTCTAAGCCACACCCACTCATTGCATCACACCTCAGCAGCCAATCCCAGGCCTTCTCTGCAGTGTGATTTGTTCAATGAAATGTTTTGAATCTCTAAGTCAGGGTTTGGCCCTTCATTCATTATGAAATGATGAATTATTGAAACGTGGCTTCACTAGAATCACTTTATTAAGTCAGTCAGATTTAAATGGATTATTTATTGTAAAATGTTCAAGAGAACTTTATAAGAGCACTAAAGAGGGTTTATTTTTGAGGTTCCAGAACTGAGAAACAGCTTTTAAATGCCGACTGTGATGTTTCTATCAGTTTTAATGACGAGGGTCTGTGAGTTTTGACCCATTTCATGACGAAAGGCAAGTAAATAAATGCTTTAAAAGCTTGTTCACACACAAAACAATCAAGCAATTCTGACTATCTCATAATTCTAAGTTTATATCTTTTAATTCTGAGTTTATTTCCCTCAGAACTGTGAGATAAATATTCATAATTAGCCCTTTAATTAAAGTCCAGAACTGGAAGTTGCTGCGGACTTTAATTTCAGTGTTTACAACTGAATATTGAGCAGAGGGCGGGGTTTATTTTTGAACTCCGCCTCTTATCTTTCACTTCCAGCAAGCTAATGGTTGGAGGGGGCGTGGCTTAGCATAATTCGCCCAATCAGAGTCATCAAAGAAGGACTGCTGTTCCAGAGCATCACCAAAACAAAGGTTTCTCATTCAGAAGATGATATGACACAGATTATTGTTCACCTAATATTGATTAATAATGTGCGCTACTAAAATCAACACTGTACATTTGGATTTAATGCAGACTTTAGGCTGTTTGAGTGTGTTATAGTGGCTTTTAATGTGCCTTTGACACAGAAGGAACTATGAAAACAAAGAGACTGACTGTAGCTCACTCATGTTCTGTATGCTCTTACTCTTCAGTCAGTGTCCAGCATGTTCGGGGAGTTTGGTGTTGGTTCATGAAACCATGTGGTGTTGCACCTTATAATGATATAGGATTTATATGACTAAAGATTGAGATCTACATCAGATGCATTCTCCCAGCTAACAAGGTGTACCAGATTTTTTTTTTAACGAGATGTAAAATAGTATTAGTGTTCTCCAGCTCTCTGAAACTGACCCTTTCAGGCTTTGATCCAAACTGTGCTATTTTGGTTACAATCACTTTAAATTCAAATGAGATTGTGCTCTTTTCAGAAGAGGGCGGAGCTACAGATGCCTGTGTGTCTGCATAGTGGCTGATTCAAAACAGGTTCTCAGTGCTGGTCAGGTCACATCTGTAATCCTCTTAGTCTATGCTGACATCATCTTCAGCAGCTCAAACACTCTGATGGCTAATGGACAGACGGCTGCTTCTCACTCAGGGCTGCTGGAGATGCTAATGAGGAAAAGATGGGTAATAGTGGGCGGGGCTTTCCCCCTTTGATGACACGCACAAAGAGAGAATGTCAATCACAGTGTTTCTGCATCAAGTCTGATTAGAACAAACACAATTCATTCATGTTGAGCATTAGAGGCTGCTGGAGATACTCACACACTGCTGACACACACACTGGGGTTAAACTATGAATAAAAGTCATTTCTGCATAACAGCTCACCTTTAATTGTAAAGAGTGACCTTAATAACATTATTATAACTAAAAATCAACATCAATACATTGTCTAACAAGATGTACACAAAAACATGTTAACGCTTATGTGAATGTTTGCGAAATGTTTTTAGAACATTAATATAATGTAAACAGAATGTTCCAATAATGTTTTAAGTATAACACACTGACAACATTAATATAACATCTGAATCTCTATTAATATTTGAATAACGTTATCCTCTAAATCTTTTTTCATTCATTCAATGATTTTCCTTCAGCTTATTGCCTTATTTATCAGGGGTCACCACAGCGGAATGACCCGCTAACTATTCCAGCATATGTTTTACACAGCGGATGCCCTTTCAACTGCAACCCAGTACTGGGAAACACCCATACACACACACACTAATACACTACGGCCAATTTAGTTGATCAGTTCCCCTATAGCGCATGTGTTTGGACTGTGGGGGAAACCGGAGCACCCGGAGGAAACCCACACCAACACGGAGAGAACATGCAAACTCCACACAGAAACACACACTGACCCAGCTGAGGCTCGAACCAGAGATAATGTGATGCCACAGTGCTAACCACTGAACCATTGTGCTGGCCTATATCTTTTTGAACATCCAAAAAATAGCAATATAACCTAAAGGGAACGTTGAGGGAATGTTTTTACAACGTAAACTTGTTAGCTGGGAATCTCCAAAAATGACTCTAAATGTACAAAGAGGTGAAAGTATTTTTTGATGATGAAGAGACTGTAAAAATGCCCTTTTGTTTGTGATGTTCGTCTGATTGTAGTTGTGTTTTCCTGTATGTGTTTATTTAAGACAACTGAAGCCATAATGAAGGACACGCACAGAGGAAGAAGTGTTCGACTCTCGTCTAGTTGAGTTTACAGTGTTTGTTTAGTTTGAATGCCTTTATTTCAGAAGACAGATCACCAGCTCACCTGTTTTTACTTCATTAGCTGTAGGAAATGCTGTATCTGAAGTTATTTTGCAGAACTGAAAGACGTTTTCCACTTTGATCCACATTTGTTGACGCACCCAGCAATAAAAGCCTTTCTGAAATCCGACTGCTCTCAGTGTTTGATTGCTGAATCACTGTGATTATTCATCTATTTCAGCTTAGTCCCTTTATTAATCAGAGGTCGCCACAGCGGAATGAACCACCAACTAATCCAGCATATGTTTTACACAGCGGATGCCCTTCCAGCTGCAACCCATCTCTGGGAAACATCCACACACTCATACACTACAGCTAGTTTAGTTGATTAATTCCCCTATAGTGCATGTGTTTGGAGGAAACCATGCCAACACATGGAGAACATGCAAACTCCACAAAGAAACACCAACTGACCCAGCCGGGACTTGAACCAGCGACCTTCTTACTGTGAGACGATCGTGCTGCCCTGTGATTATTATGCAAATCCATAATTTATTTGACTTTTTTTCATTCATTCCCATACTTTTTAACTCTTATTAATTTCAACAATTATATTAAAGTATTATTAAAGTAATCAGACAAAAGTAATCGTGAATACCGTTAACAACTTATTATTTATTTAGTTAATTTATGCATCAAATTATGATTATATGGTTTATTAACACACACAGATATATGTGCTTTTATAATAATTCAACTTATTTTAATAAGTTAATCAGGTTTTAACTATAGATTTTTAAATTATACAATGAAGTTTAACTTAATTTATTTAGTCAGTTTGATCGATGTAAGTTAAAATGATTAACTAAAATATTAATGCAGCAATATTTTTACAGTATTTAATGCTATGTTAATGCTAATTACAGTATATATTGACTGTATTAAAACAAACTGAGACTCCAAAGACACAATTTTCCTAAAGAGATGGACTCCGGTCATGCCTTTACTTCTTAAATAAAGAGCCGTTGTTATGATCAAGGTACCTCCTTTCTTTCTCCATCTTATTATCCCATTTTATTCTATTTATTTAATTTTGTAGTATTATTACAATTTTTTCTTCCTCTTTTATATGTCCTAAGGATGTTTTTATTTAATAAAATAAAATAAAAATAAGTTGTGTGCAGCACTATAGTAAATTATATATATATATATATATATATATATAGACAATAAGCTCCAGAAGGCGTCCTTTACTCTGGTGTAACTCTAATGCATGCTCAGAATGTTTAATACAGAGTCAGACTGTTATGATCAACATCATTTCTTTCTTCACTTTCATCATCTTATGATCTCTTTTATAAAATAATATTACATATTTTTTGTTCTTTACATGTATCTACAATCATTATGGTAGCTAGAAATTAATTAACTAACATGCAAATAATAATACACTACTCAGCTGTGGAGCGCCGTTAGCCCGCTTCTCTCCCCGCCCGCTGCAGCTCCTCCTCCGGCCAGCAGGCGGCGAATCCCCGCCCAGTTTAACCCCAGCGCGCTTCTTTTCTCCAGACAGTCCGCGTGACGCAGTTAAATCAGGAGTGTGTTCTGCAGAGTTACGGCTGTATTTCTCAGTTGCTGAACTCTTAATTATATCACGGAATGGCGCAGAATATGTTGCTGTACTGGGGCACGGGCTCTCCGCCGTGCTGGAGGCTGATGATCGCCCTGGAGGAGAAGCAGCTGCAGGGCTACAAACACAAGCTGCTGTCGTTCGATAAGAAGGAGCACCAGAGCCCGGAGGTGAAGGCGCTCAATCCCAGAGCTCAGGTGAGATTCCAGCACCTGTGTGCAACTCTACAGAGTCTGTAGGAAACAACACTATACTGACTGATAGTAAAGTGTACTATTATGCATATTGTAGTAAGAGGAGAACTCCAGAAGGTGTCATTTTACTCTGGTGCAACTCTAATGCATGCTCAGAGTCTGTTTAAAATAAAACTATAATGAGTTACAGTAAAATGATAGTGAAGTGTGTTATTATGTGTATATTATATTAAACTGAGAGCTCCAGAAGGCGTCCTTTAACTCTGGTAAAACTTTAATGCATGCACAGAATCTGTATAAAATAACACTACAATGAATTATTAGCTCTAGTGAAGTGTATTAAAATGTGTGTATTAAAGGAGAGATCCAGCATCCGTGTGCAACTCTAATGCATGCAGAGAGTTTGTATATAATAATACTATAGTGATGTAAACTATAGTGAAGTATATTATAGTAAGAGAAGAGCTTCAGAAGGCGTCCTTTTACTGTGGAGCAACTCTAATGCATGCACAGAATCTGTATAAAACATACTACAGAGATTATTATAGTAAAGTGTATTATCATGTGTATATATTAGTGTAATAATAGAGCTCCAGCAGGTGTCCTTTACTCTGATGCTACTCTAATGCATGCACAGAGCCAGTATAACATAATACTATAGGACTTACAATAAAAACTGTATTAAGGTATGATTTTATGTATTTTATAATGAGAATAGAGCTGTGGAAAGCTTCCCTTTACTCTGGTGCAACTCTAATGCATGCACAGAGTGTGTATAAAATAATACTACAGTGTTTTATAGTAAATACTATAGTAAAGTGCATTATGTATATATTATTGTAAACGGGGAGCCCCACAAGGCGTGCTTCTGATCTGTGTGCAACTCTAATGCATGCACAGAATATCATATATCTGTATAAATGTATATAAAATAATAATACCATCGTGATTAATAGTAAACACTATAGTAAAGTGTATTATTATGTATATATTATAATGAGAGGAGAGCTCCAGCAAGTGTCTTTTACTCTGGTAATGCATGCACAGAGTGTATTAAATAATAACACAACTGATGATGGGGTTTTAGACATTTTGCATTGCATTTAGACATACAACATTAATGATGGATTCAGTTTACTGTAGATTATATGTGTTGTGCCAGTAATTCTGGAATGACTTGCGTAGATGTAGAACAATAAAGGATTGGGCTGTTTATATTACTATAGTTGTTTGTGTTACCATAGCAACTGTATAATTAGCACAACAGAATCATTCCAGTACTTCATCATTCACAAAACGCAACATTATTTTTGTATAATTCACTATTTTGTCATGTGGGGGGTTTCAATAATGCACTTGTTTTATTTTGCAGCTTCCAACATTCAAGCACGGAGAGATCGTGGTGAACGAGTCTTTCGCCGCGTGCCTTTATCTGGAGGTAATGACACATAATAATGACACTCAAATTGTTCTTATTAATTAAAAAAATGATCAATAAATCTTTAAAAATGTATTTTATTCCAACTAAACCTGCTGAAGATGCTGTTTAAATCCAGCTAAAGGATTTCACACTGTATTTATGTGTTTACTTTGCTTGCTTGACGGTTTTGTGCTATTATAACTGAACAGAACACACAGTGTAGAGCAGTAGTAGTCATATATTTGTTGTGGTTATATTTAAATAGATGGAGAGGTAATTATCACTCTTTAATAAATGACTTCTTGTCTATTTGTAGAGTGTGTTTAAGTCTCAAGGCACTCGACTGATCCCAGACAATCCTGCTGAAATGGCGCTCGTCTACCAGCGCATGTTTGAGACCGAGAACCTGCAGCAGAAGATGTGTAAGAGCGCTAAACACTTCCACATGCTCATATAGTAAATGAGAATAAGTGTGGACTAGTGTCGTCACCATACCGCAATTTCAACTTCGATACGATGTCTTGAAAAATACCCTATCCTTCCTATAGGTCAGAGAAATACGACGCATATATTATTACAATGGGATTAAATGTGTACTGTAAATATTTAATGTTTCATGCACATGGTGAAATGTAAAATACATGCATTTAAATCTTCATGCCTAGACTATTGCAACTCAGTTAACATGAATATTGGTCAATAATATATACATAATTTACAAGCACTCCTCAGCGCAAGTCCTTAAGTCTAAAAGGCAATAAATAACATGCAGTAAATGAATGCAATCTAAATGAAGCAACCTATTTTCTGCATAAAATCTTAATATCTTGTTGAAATCCTAATATTATAATTAATTAATATTATTAAATCTACCAGAGCTAACATGGTATTTTAAAAACTAATATTAACAAATTATTTTATTGTATAGATTATTACCATTTGGCAATCATTTAAATCTGCAATGCATCTGCATAAAAACTAAATATGCAATGTTTATTTTGCTAGCGCACATTGTTTGTCCTAAGGTGAACTAATTTGGTTTTGAATTAAAAATGGACTATTTGTATCTGATTGGGCGATATATGCTTAGCCACGCCCCTCCCACATTTGCTTGCTTTGAGTGAAAGGTGAGAGGCGGGGCTCACGGACAAACCACACCCCCTAGTTAACATTTCAATACATTTTCAGACTAAAATAGCGGCCATCAGCAACTTCTGGTTCCCGTGGAGTTTATTGAATATAAATCGTGTGTTTTCAGACGAAGTGGCCTTTTATGATTGGCTTGTGCCTGAAGGAGAGAGACTGGAATCTGCTCTGAAGAGGAATAAAGAGAAGCTGATTGAGGAGCTCAAGCTGTGGGAGGGATACCTGGAGAAGGTGGGCTTGCGTTTATTAGACACTCGCATATAACATGTAGAAGTCAGCTTCTGGAGACTAATAGAGGAAGTCTCTTCATTTAGTTATCTGGGAAATTAATCTCATTATTAAAGCAAAATGGATTTTTGAAAGTGCATTTAAAATGCATGCGATTTTCATCATTTAAGACCAGTCTCAAATTTAAGATTTATGCTTCATATGAAATCTGAATAAATTATCTTTTCATTCATGTATGGTTATTAGAATAGGGCAATATTAGGCTGAGGTAAAAGCACATCTAAAACCTGTTGATTTAAAAAAAAAAAAAAAATATATATATATATATATATATATATGTATGTATGTATTGAATTTCACTCTCTGATTCGTGTATATATCCTGTTATTGCATTGCTTTGCATTATTAGTTTGGTGGATTTTTTTCTGCAATATCATGCAGTCCTACTGTAAATCCCATAAGCCCTGAAACTGCCCCTTTGCCTGTTCAACTTTCCTCTCATCAACTCTGATTGGTTCTTCAGATGGGTAAAGGCTCATATCTGGCTGGCAAGAACTTCAGCATGGCCGACGTGGTTTGTTTCCCCGTCATTGCATATTTCCCTCGACTACAGTGAGTGAACATCTCATCTCCATTCACACGTTAAATTCCACATTACCTTTGACACATTATGACCACAGACACTGGTTAGAGTGTTTTGTGTTAATGATAACCTATGGACAGAACAGGGTGTCTGCGGGGTATTAAAAACTCTTAAAATGTTTCAAAAGCTAGTTTTAGGCCTTAAAAGTGTCACAGAAATATTGTGTTGTGGGTTTTGAATTATTTTAAACAGGTCTTAATTTCATACGCCCATGTAAAGCTACCCAATCACTCCATCTCAATAACACTTTGAACATATTTTGATTTATTAACTTGTCAATATCTTCCTTACAATAACATTGGTTTCAACATTCTCCATGTATTTAGAGCTGCCTGCTGAGGACACTGACCGGCACACACATGGTTTTACACATGCATTTAGTTTATTAGAGTTTTTAAAACTTGTCTTGTCAAACTTGGCTGGCATTATGCATTATGTAATATATGCAAATAATATATATTTTAAATATTATTATTTATACTATTTCTTTATTTGCATTATTTTAAAATTAATAATAAATAACTACATTAATTTTTTTTATTTGAGCAGGTAAAAACATTTTCCACTGGGCCATTTGAAAACAAAGACCCTTAGCATTTAGCCCTGTATAAATCAGTGATTTCTAGCATGATGGTTTTTAAAAAGTCTTACATTTGACTAGCATGAATCTGCAGAAATCCTGCACAAGGTCGAGCAGACGTTTCTGATATCAGTAAAGAGTTTAATGATTGATGCTGATGGGTGAAGGTTCAGTCGACTGGTTTAATGTTTGATCGGTTTCATTCGGTTTAATGTTTGATGTGCTGTCAGGTGTCCTAAAGAGAGATGTCCCAGACTGATGGAGTATTATGAGATGGTGAAGGATCGGCCCAGTATTAAAGCCTCCTGGCCTCCAGAGTGGCTGGAGAAGCCGGTGGGTGAAGACATTCTCAAGAGCCTCTGAGGAACCGGACGAAACATCACCTTAATGCCTTCCTGAAGAAACTACCCTTTCACAAAACTAACCGACTGTATTAAATTGAGGTTTATTTAATTTCCTGCATAAACATGTTAACGCTGCATGATATTGGGAAACATTACATTGCAATGTTTTGCTTTTTTACAATAGTGATGTTCTAGTTTAGTATATCTGCATAAAGTATAACAAACTTGATTAATGCCAAAACAAAGAATAAAAAAAGAGAATTTAAAAAAATATATATTTTTGGTACGTCTTGACGGTAGTCAGACAGAGATATATTGAATAATCAAATGTAAAGTCACAGTCTTCCATATATAAGTGACATGCAGCTTATCTACTGTGTTCATGCTTTAAACTCATTCATGGTAACAGCATTAAGAAGACAAAAAATACTCATGAAAATGCAGATATTTAGCTCCACAATAACACCTGGTCACCTGTGATGCCTATTTTGATCCTGAACTGTTCTATTGTGCTGCTGAGATTGATGTGTTGCAGAAGGGGATAGTTCACCCAAATACTCCTACTTGTTCCAAACTAGTTTGAGTTCTTTTGCTATGTTGAACACAAAAGAAGAGACTTTGAAGAATGTTGGAAACCTGTTACCAATGACTTCATTGTTTTTTCTTTCCTACTCTGCATGTGAGTGGTTACATGTTTCCAAAATATCATCATTTAAATAATAAGAGTTTTCATTTTTGGGTAAAATATTCCTTTAAACGCTTTGCTGTTATTGTGCCTCATTAACATGATTAAAGTTCTACATGATTATTAACTGCTTTTCCAGAGCAGAAGATTGTCCGGCAGATTTCGATTAAAGATGACTAAAACAAACTAAAGTTTTCTTTCATAGATGAATGGTTTACGTTCAAATGTGATGCTGAATTTAGCATGTTATCAGTCTATTTTGTTGTGTGGGCCTATCATTCTTTTGTGGGCAAGCTATTCACCCTAATTTCCATCAATAAAATGTTTCTGTTTTATATAAATCACAAAACATGTTGACTAATGTTAGTTCATTCATCAACAAGTAAATAAATAAAGGAAATTCTGTCATTGATCTGTCTTTTACTTGACATATCCTAAGTATTTTTAAGCGAATGAGACACATCGGCACATACTGAGGATTTAAACATGAACATATGTCTGTACTGATATTTAACTAAATAAAATTAAAATATAAGTACTTTTACTTACCGGTAGCGTGATATGAATCGAGCTCCACGCACGTCCTCGGATCTATCCTAATTAATATTCATGAGTCTAACCGTCAAACTGTTTAACGCCATGGGCTTGGCGTTCGAGTTTGACGGTTAGGTTCATGAATTTTAATTAAGCACAGCTAGACTCTAATAACTAACGCTGTTTGCTTATTTTTCAAATAGTGCTCTGTATAAAACACAACAGTAGCATATTATATTCGCATTAAGAACAATTTTCTTCCAAGAGCTACAGCGTCATTGTTATGATCTGCCGCGTTAAATATTCGCGCTCTTTAGAGTAGGCTGGATTCTGATTGGCTGTTCTGGTTGTTTTTATCCACCTTAAAACTCATAGTGAAAGTAGTTTTAAAGATATTTGTACTCCTTTAAATGTTTCACAGATTATCATCCAATGAAGTCTATGAATACACAGTTTTGAAAGAACAGCTTGATGAAAGTTATTTTCAGCCATGTTATTATTAATTCCTTTTCCAGTACTGGGTTTCTAGCTGGAAGGGCATCCGCTGCGTAAAACAAATGCTGGAATAGTTGGCGGTTCATTCCGCTGTGGTGACCACAGCCCTAGATTAACGAAGGGACCAAGCCGAAAAGGAGGTAATGAATAAATAACATTAATTCAGTTTGTAAATGAGTTAAACACAAACAAGTTAGCATTTTAGAAGTGTATATTTCCTTCAGAAACTGAAAAAGCATTAATAAACCAAAATAAAATGTTTTTTAATACAATATCTGATGAATGCAAATAAATTCTGTATAATAACCGTTAACTGTCTTCAAGTCAGATAATTCAACACTGTTTTAAAGAGACAGTTCACCCAAAATTAAAACTCAGTCATCATTTATAAAGGTTTTTGACTTCTGAAGCATTTCTCTCTTCTATTAAACACAAAAAAGCATACTCTGAAATAATACCAGAACTCAGTAACCACTGACTTCCATTGTGTTTGTTTGTATTTTCCTACGATGGAAGTCAGACGTTACAACATTCTTCAAAATATCTATTTTTGTGTTCAACAGAAGAAATTAAAAACAACTCAAATGTTTGTAATCTAATGATGATAACTGGTAAGTACACATATTTTGGTCACACTTTACAATAAGGTTATATTAGTTAATGCATTTACTAACATGAGCAAACAATCAACAATACATTAATTACAGTATTTGTTCATCTTAATGAAAATACATGTGTTGGTGTTACCTCACGGTGCATTAATTAATGTTAATTATTATGTCAATAATGCATTAGTAAATGCTGAACTGTGATTAATAAATGCTCTATTTCAGTATTGTTCATTATTAGTTGATGTAAGTAAACACATTCACTAATGATTGTAAAGTGTAACCCATATTTTTTTCAGTGAACTGTCCCTTTAAGAACAAAATTCCTGTTTATCTCTAGACAAGCAGGTTTACATGCGTTATCGCCACACCGTATAAACGCTGGGCTCCACACAATTCAATCAATCAACAAATTTAAGTGTATTGAACATGAAACACTCAAGAATTGTGTTGATTCAGCTCATTTTAAGAAGCATTATGAAAGATCTGCAGGAATCATCCTCTCAGTCTTCTCAGAATGCTCCAGCTGCTTTATGAACAGCATGTCAGGGACTTCATTTCCCATAATTCCTCCCAGCATGCCTAGAATGCAGCTCAATGATTGAACTCAGTACAGATGAGCTCTAATCATCATCATCCTCCTCTGATGAAGAGCGGCTGTGGCTCTGTCGGTAGCAGTGCGCTAGGTTGCGGAGCTGCTCCAGGTATTCGCTGATTTCTGCATGTTCGGGGCCGTGCGTGAGGAAACTGGGGGCCACGCGCCGCAGGTCCAGCGATGCACAGGCTCTCTGCAGCTCCGACAACTGGAGACCCACGGCAGGACTGCTCTGGAGAGACGTCAGCACAGGAAGACATGACACAGGCGGACAGGACGCTGGACACACGGAAAGAATAGATTTAAAGGGACAGTACACACAAAGAATGAACTTTTGTCATTGTTTACTCAGCCTTTACTTGCTTACAAATCTCTTTGAGCTTCTTCTGTCGAACACAATTGAAGATATTTTGAAGAATGTTGAAATCGAATAATCAACTTCCACTATAGGAAGCAGAAACACTATAGTAGTCGATGGCTATTGGTATGCAAGAGAATGAAAAATAAAAGCCAAACATGTATTTATATTAAATGTTGTTTTAAATATGCAACTGATGCATTGTTTAATTTAATATCCATTCATTTTGCATACATGTTAGCACATAAATCTGCAAATTAGTTTAGTTTTTGACATATTAGACTCCAATGGTTTAACAAGGGAGATTATTACTTTATAATTTATAATAAATAAAAAGGCTCATAACCATTTAAAGAAGTCAGATGTTAATGTGACTAAACTTGTTCTCTTTTAGGTAAGTTAGGGCTAGGAGCACATGTGTTTCTGTTCTGCTTAATAGCAGAATAATGAGAGAGATATTGTTTTGAGAAATGGTTATAACTGTTCTTGAAAGTCAAGTTTACATACAGTAATTCTGCCTCTGGGAAAGCTCAGATGATGCTGTCAGGGTTTTGGAAGTTTCTAATGTTTTGGAGTGGCCATCACAAAGCCCTGATCTCAATCCTATAGAACATTTGTGGACAGAGCTGAAAAAGCTTGTGCGAGCAAGACAAATCTGACTCTGGATTCTGCCAGAGGAATGGGCCAAAACTCATATAGTGAGAAGCTTGTGGAAGGAGACCGAAAACATTTGACCAAAGTTATACAGTTTAACAGCAAAGCTAAAAATACAAAGGAAATGTGTGTAAACTTTTGACTGTCTAGAAATTAATAAAAACTCTCTAAATAAAATTCTTCTATGTTCCTTTTTTTGGAGTGTATGTAAACTTCTGGTTTGGATAAATTGAAAATGGATGAATTGGATGAATTAAAACTGATAAAGTCTGTTGTTAGTACTACTGAACATTTTAATAAATTGCATAGAACTGCTGTTGAAATCTACAAGTATAAAATAAGAAAGGGTGATAAAAACACATGAATCAGATTGTTTAATGTTGTCTTTACACGAATATAAACTATGAAAAAAGTTTTTAAAAATCTTTATAAGCTGACAGTAGTGTGATGAAGCTCTGTTAAATAAATGGATATCTGAAAAAGAAACAGATAAAACAAAGGCAGGCAGGATGATTTGGCTCTGTATGTTGTTGAGATATGTGGGGGCGTGGCTTTCCAAACTTAAGGCGGATCTGAATGCATGCTTATAAACAATTGAAGGAAAGGGGCGGTTTTATATTGAAGAGACTCACGGGACGCAGGAGTGCTGTGGCTCTGGAGGAAACCCTGAGCACTGAGAGACGGACTGAAGATCTGCGGGAATGGAGGAGTCACTTTACTGCCACTGGAGACCAGCTGAACCGCCCTGCACACACACACACACACACACACACACACACACACACACACACACACACACACACACACACACACACACACACACACACACACACACACACACACACACACACACACACACACACACACACACAC